GTGACGTTCGGCCCTTTAATTATCGGCCATAAATCATCGCTCCATATCGTCCCTTCTGCTTGGTTAGCCTTATTCTTTTGCTTTTCTAAACAAATAGCCTGAGTAAGTTCTCCACGTCTTGTTTTTTCGATTCCGGTCAGTCTCTCAACATATACTTTCCGGATTTATTCTGAAAGCGTGATAAAAGAGTTGAAATATCAGTAACAATACTGAAGCATAATTTTTCCCGCCTATTTATAGTGTTTTCATACATTTGGCGTAAAACAAGCTTCCATTAACGGACAATTTCTTTTACGAAACCTCCGAAAAAAAGTACGCCCGATGGCTAGCGAGAAGGCCATTTCGGCACGTATTATCTCACGCTGATTCACCCTGACGTTCAGCCGCTACGCTGTTTGGAAAAGAAACGCGACGGGCGTTTCAACCCTACCGATCTCCCGTCCGTTTTTCGCGCGCGCGTTTCCTGCAAGCGCGTATTTATTCGTGCGTGCTCCTGACGCCGGGCGGGTGCGTATTGTTGCGAAATTATCGGCATTGTCATGCGCGACTCGATTTATTTTGTCTACTCGGCGGAAAAGTGCTTTCATTTGGCGCGACTGGCGCGGCGGGAAGGGAGGTGCACGTCGAAACCGTAGAGAAAGAGCAGCGAACGCGGACTGTCGTGAGACGGACAGAGCACGCGGACGAGCGCGTTGCTCGCCCTCCAGGCGTTCTCTGCGACAAAAGCTCTTAATTCGACAATGCGTCCGTCGAAAGGGGACAATAGTCGACTTTCGGTAAATAATGATTCCTTCGATCCTCTCCATACCAGTTTTCCAGTCCTCCACTTTCGCAAGTGCCGTCCCACGTTGAAACACCGAACGGCGATTTTAGCTGCGTAAGAGACAGAATCGTCGACAACGTTAGACCGAGCTGCAATTTTTAGAATAATATAAACACTCGAGTTGCGATTCCTGTATTGCAGTTTCTGAGATTTCGTCGAATCCCCTAAGGTAATTAAGAAGGGGAAAATTAGGATTTTTTTTGCTAAGATTGCGCAGCGTCGGGGAACGTGATTCGACCGAGCGAGCGTGCGGGCGGACGACGAAGAATTCGAAATCGGATTAGAGCCAGCGATGGGACGCTCGATTTCGTTCCCGCCTGTTTCGATGCTTTCATTTTTCCGTCCCTTCGGGAGCGTCGGCCAGATATTTGCATTACAAATACACCTTCACCGAGGTTTTTCTCGTTTCATTAAATTCGCTTTTTCCTCGAGACGTACCTCTTCCTCCTCGACCTGTCTTTCCGCCGTCATGAATGTACTCCCGCATTCATCCCCGTCCTAGCACGAAAGGGTTGTATTAAGAATCTTAATACCGGGGGAAAAAGTTTGCCGCCACCGAACACTGAAATCGTTTGTTCCGCGGACGTGCGCCGAAATAAGATATCATAGCGTTAATTATTAGTCACCGAGTGCTCTGCAAGGGTTCTCTTGCGATCTTCTGCTTGTTAAGGATTGTTAATGAATGTTTCGCTGAAAAGCTGTCGGCTACACGATGGTGGTTACTCTTAATTTCTACAAGAACGAATAGATTATCTGTAAATCATATAAAATAAATATTAATATTAGTTTTTAATAATCTTTTATATTATTTTAACGAAGAAATTTCAAAGAATAAATAATGTTCTAAGAGCTAATCATGGTCATTAGCAATTAATGGAATTTATTGTTAAAATATGGAAATCGTTTGATTTCTTTGGTCTTTGTTTTTCTTAAAAGCATAATATGTAACGTTTTTTTATAAACATGTGAAATAAAACGAAACGAGGATTAACAAGACTTGTTTGCAAGATCTTAGTGTTATGTTCATTTCTACCAACGTAAATTAACTTTAATCTCGGTTTAACTTAATTTCTATATTTTTTAGTTCTGAAAATTAAAAAAAGATAAAAAGTAAGTTAAACCGAGATTAAAGTTAATCTACGTTGGTAGAAATAAACATTAATAAAACAGCTGATGACTATCAAAACGCGTCGAGCTTTGATATCATGAATCAAATCTTCAAAAAGCACGATAACAAAAAGTCGAAATCTCGTGGCTAGTTGCCAATCAATTGTTAATAATCAATTGTTAGTTCCATCGCGCGCATTTATTTTTGCTTCATACGCCAATTACATTTTTTGTTTGCTTAAGGGCCAAAGCACATAACATGGCGTAGCGATATACGATAGTCGTAGTCGTGGACGTAAGTAACGCAGAAGCTTACTATTCTGACAGTCTTGTGCGTTACTTACGTCCACGACTACGACTGTCATATATCGCTATGTCACGTTATGTGCTTTGGTTCTAAGTTGTAATAAAGTAATAAAGTTGTAATAAAGTATATACATCTATTTTAAAAGTTAACATCTGGTTATAAATATACTGTGAGTTTTATCGACCACTAAACTCTGCTCCTGTGCTACTTAGCTCGCGAATAAATAACAATGGTTTTTATTTAGTATGCGATACATTGTGTTGATCTTATTAACAGCTTCACGTAGATTTTTATATTTAGTTTATTATGTCATGAACGATATTTTTAATATTATATTATATAATATAATTTTTCGGAATCTTCCACTTGTGTTCCAATACGCGATTCCATGTGGGATTTCCGCCTCGATGACGGATGTTTACTCGCCGCAAATCTTTATCTTTCGAGTTCGCCTCGGCGATAATCACGTACGTGCCTCGCGATCAAATGCTCCGATCAGAAACGGTTACGCGGATTTGTTCGTTACATCGACGTCCCAGTAGTTATATCCTGATGAAATTGAGATACGATCGGTCGGCTCTCCCTCGCGGCCGGCGTGCAACGCTAACGTGAATTATGGAGCTCGCGTGCCGCGCAATACGCAGGCGGCAGTTCGAGAGATACGAACGTCGTCATTTTTTGGCGTGAAGTATTTACGTGGGAACGCGGTCTTATTCCCTCCGCGCTATCGAATCGGCATGCTCTACGAGCATACACGCAGGGACGGCGATGATCTACGACCGTGCTAGATCGATACGTTTCTTGAGAGGTCACGAGATCATCAGATCTCGATATTCTCTTAATCCGCGCTATCGCTGTAATACAGGAGATATTCCAAAACTTCCTGTTACCCTGCCGAATCATCATTTATCTACGACGTCTTTAATCAAGTTAAAGTCGATTTTTTTTTCAACAAGAACTGTCAGCTTTTAAATTGTGCGGTTAAAAAGGATTGTCGGGAACTAAGCTAAGAGCACAGCAAACAGTAAAATGTTATTTCTCATTAATTCTCATATTTCTCATAATTTTCTTTCTTTTTTTTTTTTCATAAAATTCTCATAAAATTTAAATTGACTTTCTCCTTTTCTTAAACAGATTTGTAATATATGTGAATTGTTAAAAGTATATAATATTGACTACGAGAAAATTGCGGTGATAATTCTTTATTTTCTTTAAAGGAAAGCTTTATTTCAACCTGGCTAATAAAATCATATGAAACCATATGAAGTGCGTGAAACATAAATTGTTAAATTTTTGGGATTTCTTGTACATGGCAGCAACTAAATATGTTACATCTCTATCATTTTGTTCGTATAACGAGATCTGACAAATTCACAGCTAAAGAAAAATGTTACAAGTCCGAGTTTTTATTTAAAGTCCCGTGAAAATATCTGGTCTCCAATGTTGTCTTAATTAAAGTTGGCTGACTTCTGGCTTGTTGCGTCTTTCGCGCCACTCGTCAAGCTCGTCCCCAGGGGTGCAATTTACTCGCATCTCCTCCTTTCATCCCTTCACTCAATCCCACGAAGCAGCCGGTTTTAGCTTGTCGTGTCTGCATCCATTCCGCCTACGAGCCTCCTTAAATACTCGGCGACGAGCTGCCATCTTATTTTACATCATCTAACGCTGATCGGCTTATTAATTTATGCGAAAGAGGTTTTAATGAAGAAAAAAGCCATTAACTTTCGTCTGATAAATCGTCCCTTATCCGCTATCAACTTTCCCTTTCGCGTCGCTGTTTTACATAGAAATAACAGATATGTATATTAATGCAATGTCACGTTTTTCTGATTTATTGAGAGTGGACGGATCTTTTTTTTTTACTACGACTTTAATATGCTTTTTTGATTCTGTCATGACGTTATCTGTTATGAAAAAGATATGAGATCGCGCACGAGAATATTACTTTACATAACAGGAAATGACAAAGCATAAACCAAACACGCATGCAACAAATTTAAATTTTTAAAATATACAATTGCGTAAAATAAATTTGTGTGCACGAATCGGATAGTAGATGTTTTGAAGCGCGAAATCAGTTTGAATAAAGTATCTTCTTTAAGGTGCGCAATCTCTTTGTAAATCGGTTAATTAAAAATCAGTGAATAATTTGAAATGCAATTAGAGAAAGTAAAGGGTAGCGATCGTGGGGTAGACGTTGCCTTGAATGAAAGTCCGATTGTTTCCTGACATAATTTGATACTCTCTTCTCTTTTTGTACAATTGTGAAACCTGAGTTTGGCGTAATATCCTCTTTAAGGCATCCGCTGGTCAGAGGTGGAGGTCTTCCTTGGTCTTTACCATGTAAAACAGTCCCTGCATCCCTTTGTCCGTCGGGCCACCCTCGGCCCGAGGACGTTAAACGTTAAAGTTCTGACCGAACAAGATGACGAGCCGGTCGCATTGCGGACGGACAAGAGTTTCTTCGCGACACGATGCGTTCGATATTTATTTAGTAGGAACGAAGGCGTACCTTTTACCCATGGGACCGTCTCAGATTTTCATGACGCAAGAAATAGATTTCAACCTTCGTTTGCTTCTCTGCAGAGCTTCACTGATTTTTCAATATTTCCGTAAATGTGCGTTATATAATAATCCAATACAAATTGATTTTCTTTCAGCTCGACAATAATTTATCATAAATGCCCGTTCGTCAAAATTGTTGTAAATCATCTATAAAAAATTGCATAATTTTTAAAGCGATTTATGACAACTAAAAATAAGTAAAATTACTCAATTTATTTTTTATACTGATATAAGCACCAAATTGTTTTATTGACTTCGAGACCAATACTTTTAGACGTGGGGGATATTATCCGTAATAGCGCATCGAGGCAGAGTTGCGCGTCCATCGTTTGCTCACGCCGACGTTATAAATGGGACGCTATAAGCGTGTAGGTGTCGTTTCGTCGAGCGACGGTGCGGTCGTGGGCGCACAGGGAGACTAACCATTAGCCTGCAGGTGTTGGATATCCCAGCCGCGCCATCACTCCCTCATTCCGGGCGATCATGCTCAAGATGATCCCCGGAACGACAGGCGGAAGTCTCTCGCTATCACGCGCGAGAACGGGAGGACGGAGAGTGGCGCGAGAAAGAGTAAATAATCCTCTTCTGTATTATCCCCACGGGTTCTTGGAAATCGCTAATGCGTTTCTGCAAAATCGCCCCGCATCTCGACGCGATCGACAATCAGGGCCGCTTTGTTGTTTGCTAATTGTTGTTATCTCTTGACGAACTCGGCTCGCAGCTTGTTACCGATTAAATGGAATTGCCGGCTCTGTTCGATTTACTGGTATCGACACTCTAGTTACTCTCGTTTGACGTTACAGAAGGGAGGAATGTACATTTCCCGCTGGTATTCCGTTTAATTAAACGATTACGAGGTGAAACAATCAATTTGTATGTCTTTGTGTTACGCGGTAGGGAGGTCGAGGACGATTTGCATTTTGGCCAACATCTTTCCAAAGTCTAGTTACAAAAATAAAATTGTAATCGTTCTGATAAATGCGCGCATATTTGTAGATACGCGAGAATCATACTAATTTGCTCGAATATCATTAATTTAACTCGGTATAATTAATGGGCAAAATCGCAGTTGCTCTCGTGGGAATATTTTAACGATGGCTTAAATATGGCGCTGCATCCATGATACTTCCACATGCACTCTTCCATCCTGTAGTTACATTTAACCTCGTGAATTTCCTTACGGCAGCGCTTCGGCCTGACCCGGCAGCCGTACTCATACCATCTGCATTCTACTTGCTCGTCGGGATCCAGTTCCGGCTCCGAGGGATAAACTTGAGGGATAAACTCGTTCTCCACATCCCCTTGATGGTTTCTATAGTTGCATTTCTGCTCGTGTATGTACTTTCGTCTTCTCGGTATGTTCACCATGCAGCCGTATCGTCTAAACTTGCACTGCACCAATTCATTGGGGTCACCGCCGTAATCGGTGATGGTCGCGGACGCGAGACCGTCGCTGATATCGTTCACACCCTGGAACCTGTCCTTGTAGATGCAATGCTCCTCGTGGATGCTGCGTCTCCACGGCACCGTTCGTACCTTGCATCCTGCTGCAGAGAATGAGCACTCTATCAAATTGTCGTGGTGAAAATCGGTCGGTCCATGTTCTTCCTCGGAATGCGGTCGAAACTGGCACCTAAAATTATAATTTTCAACATTAATATTAATAAATATATGTGCGCAATGTATATTAATAAATATATGTGCGACTGACGAACAAAGATCATAAATTGATAGCGACAACAAGAAGTCTTCGTTGCACCTCGATTCGTGAAGTACTCGCAGATGCTCCGGTATCTTTATCCAGCATCCTAGATAAGAATACGAGCAAAGTTCGAGTTGCTGATTCTGAGACGGCACAGGCGGCTGCCAGGGTCTTCTCTCGTGGCTCAGGAAGTCATTTATCGGCGGCGCGCTGGGACTGTGATCATCGAAGCTGCGCGGTGGCATAGGATGCGGCATCAAGTGCACCGGCTGGGGTGTGCTCATCTGCGGCGGCAGGATCTCCACGTCCAACGGTGCCGAGCACGTGAGGCAGCTGTAGTAATAGGGCTTGCAACGGTGGCACACGTTGTGCCCGTTGACGCACGAGTATCTGGGCGTCAGCTCCATCTCCATGAAGCAGATGGGACAGAGGCCCTCGGTCTTGAGGCGGTCGTACAGATTCGGATACAGAGTGTCCATGACTTATCGGCGAGGGCGGTTATTTAGTGCCACGGTCCTTCGGTTGTCCTTCTTATCGGTCTTTCGGACCGAGATTGAGACGAATCTACTTCAGCGAAGTACAAGCAAAGCCCGCCGCTCGCTCCGCGCTCCTATCCGCGGGAAGATGAAGAGAAATTACTCCGTGCTCTCTTGCTCGCGCGGGAGCGCGATCCGAGTTGCTCTTTTGCTATGAAGATTTATGTGCAATTCAATATAGAATAATGGAGGACTTAAGAGAGGCGAACGAGGGTTACGGCTAAAGTGCGAACAGGATTAGAACGAATGCGCGGCGCGAGTGTGCCCGTTCGGAGATACGAGTTCCGATTATTTGACCAAGTGTGTGTGTGTGTGCGTTTTGAATTTTGTACCTGATAACGATCACGAAGAAAGCTGCTGATTCTCCGCCATTTGACTGACATCCGCGAACACGTACTATCGCGACTCGAAGGTCTTTATAAATATTTATTTCAAATAGTTAATCGTATTTAAAGCAAACCTTATGAATTGTAGATTTATTTAATTTTTCTAGATATACATACATATATTTTTACATTATATGTTTATCAAATATTTTTACTGTATAATTCAACAATTTTTCTTGGATTGTTAGATTATTTTTGATAATAAGGGTACTACTTACTTTATTTAGCTATCTTCCACTCGAGACGGAAATAGAGACAAGAATTACACGTACGATGGGGAACGAAAAAAAAAATAGCCAGAGTGACACGTACACTTCCGAAAGCACGGGCACCGTGTGTCATCGTCAGTCTGTCACCGTTCCCTTATCTACCGAGACCGATAGCACGACTTTATCTGATAAAACGTTCCGCTCATATGATAGAGAACTGCTTCTACGTTTTGTTACGGCAGATAAAGCGCTCGCGCGCGGACGGGACAGTACGGCGGGAGGAGAAAAAAAATGCTTGCTCTCGTTGCTATGCACTTCGCGTCACCGAATGGTAACCGCCGCCGGTATTTATTATGCTCGTTACATATGCGGATAAAAAATTGGGAATATAAGTCGGGCCGTGCTTTTTCGCCGGCGGGCAGGTCGTTTTGCTCGCGCCGTGCTTGGAATTAATTAACGATTATTCATATGGTCCCCGTGATATTGCAGAGCGTCGCAGAGATTCCTCGCGACTTCTCATCTTTTCGCACGAATTCCTCGACCAAATCAGAATTGATTATTATTCTCTCAGAAATTCTCGTCAGAGAAAAATCGACTTCAAATTATTTGCAGACACCGTGAAATAAAATGCAGAAAAAATTTGCATTTTGTCACACGTTTGAAGAAAAAAATCGCTCTTCCCTGTCGCTGGCGGGCGAGTCATAATTCATAATGTATGATAGATCACCGTTTCGAATAGCGTCACGTAAGCGTTAATTGATGACAGCTAATTACATATGAAAAATCGACAACACACGCGGACGTAATTATGATTGCGTGGCATACGCACGCATGTTACGTATCATATTACGTTCGCTTTGACGGTGTGTAATCTTTAAATTAAATCTACGATCAGGTATCACATCGTTATAGGTGTATATTACTGCGAAAATTTCGCTGGCCTTGCGTTATTTAATCTTGGGTACGATAAACCTGGAAGCGTTATTTGCACAGAGGAATAATATAACTTGCAAACGGTGAGATATTTGGCAAGTACGGGGACGGACCTAGTAGTGGTACGGAAATGCATTTTCTCCATTTAATGAATACAATTTCGATGGCTAATCGAATGCCGCAACCACTCTATTAGGGAAGTATTGTCGAGTTAATTAATCGAACGTTAACGTAACGTCGAAATTCGATCATTATCGCCGGTGGGGATATATATTTAGTTACAATGAGGTCGGGGTTAATGAATTTTAAATCGCTTTATTTCTGATCGGATTACACCATTTTGTTAGTGAAAACCGCGATTTTGACAGAGAATAAAAGACTGACAAAATTGTAAAATGTTCGTAGATGTAATAATCGCAAACTATGTGTGACGATAAAAAAATGAGAAGTATCAGAAATTGCCAGAAAACAGGGAGAGTCGGATCGCTCGGTCTTTCGCGAACATCACGTGCGAATATTCGCGAATAACGAAACCAGATACTTTCGCGTGATATTCCACACCGGGTCCCGTAACGACCGTCCCTCATTTGAATCCCCGCGCGTACATCGCATCAAAGATACGACTGAACGACCCTGCCTGCCATGAGGGTAATACTCGCTGACCATAAGTCACTTATGTAAATCTGCGAGATGGAAACACGCGTCGGGCGACAGCGATGACTTCGAGGAATATTAAATTGAAAGCAACTTGCAGCGTTTATAACAATTTCAGTTGTTTACAAGTTACATAGTTGTAAATTATTTGAAGTTTACAAGTTCTTGCGGCATTTTCATAATTTTCAAATTGTTGATAGAGAAGATAAAGCTTGCATGAGTACGTAATTCTTTAGAATATCATTTTTTAGTTTGTCCATTCCTAATGTCTTTATAGATTAACGCATTAGCGAACCACGGAAAGATCTGAGAAAACTTTAATAAATTTTTCTTGCGCCACTCAATTCACCCTCCGTTAACGTACCGAGAAAGGGAAGAAAGAAAGTATTGTAGGATATAGATACGGTACCGAGAAACGGGACGAAATAAGCCCGCGACGGCAGCCCGGTATTCAAGCACCCCGAGTCTTTCCCAAGACGTCAATTTACTCTTATTGCCCTTTTCGCGACGATATTGCGCCATCAAATTTTTACCGGAAAATTTCGTCCGCGATATTCGCGCGATTTCGTTCGCCGCGTCGCGAATGGTCGTCCTGAACACGCGATTATTTATAACGTAGCCAACTTTGAGATAGCTCGTTACGTTGATGAAAAGCACTATATATCGTCATCTAGGCAAAGTAGGTCTAAATGTCAAGGCCAATGGAATCTTGCGGTTTTTATATTCGTCTTTTGATTCTCGCTCGGGTTATACTTTGAAGATATACATTAACGTTACGCGCATAAATTATAAAATTATAAATAATGTCAATAATGTTAATAATTATCATCTTTAACATCGATATCTAAAACTGCGGTAATTATACTGGTCTCAAGTCCTGTTGTGCTGTAACAGCGCGTTCCTGAAACTGCTGATTTATCTTTCCTTCGCAGCGTTAAAGCTATCCGCACATTAGTCTCCTAATCTCCAATCGCCCCGAAAAGCCGTGCGGCGAATTTTATCAGGCACAGTAAAGTATCCCTGATCAATAAAGGAGGCGTACGGCCGTTGTGCGGCTTAATCTCGCGACTGGCTTTGTGATTGATTCGAGCATATTTCCATTTCCAGCTTACGCGCTAAGAGAGAAAAAGAGAGAGAAAGAGATCGATCTCACTCGAAATCTCATCAGTAATACAACCGCAATTTGACCCGGTTAGCTTTTTACACGGAAATGATGATCAAACTCTTAAGATAGTAATAAGAATCTGTAATAAATTACTTCCCAATTGAATTAAATGCATACGTTGGCGAATAATTTCTCAATGGCTGTTTGCGTTTCAGGATCGAATTGAACTTTTCAATATTGAATATCCAATATCGATAATACTTATACACCTTTGTAGCACAAAGCAATGCGCAATCAGTCAGTCGTAACAAATCCCCTTGCTTATAAACACCGCTTTTTCTTCCCGAATATCCGACTATGTCCGGGAGGGCGGATTCGAATCGTGCAATATGTCGCATAATTCGGCCATTCCTCATACCACCTTTGCGCGAGTTCGAAGGGAACAGACTTCAGCATGTGTAGGCACGCGTGTATCGCTTGTAAAGTTTCATAAATACGCGGAATACACCGCTTCCAGGGGGGGTGTTCCAACGTTCTAAAGCGAAGTCACGGAATGTAAAATCGATTTAGAAAGTATCAGGATCTTGTTTGACGAGAGGGTAAACGTTTTTCTGGAATTGATGGATGCTTCCGTAAAACTGCCATACGCCATATATTACTTTAGCAAAAAAAAAAACCGACCAGGAAATCTTGCAATATTTATCTTCTACTATACAAACATTTAATAATAATATACTTAATGCGTGTCTGCGTTGCAGATTCGTTTTTATCGTCAAAAAGAGAACACGCGGCAGCAAGATTTTTCGTCGTTGAAAGTCACAGTTGCGAATTCCTTTCAGGAAATTAAGCGTTTTCGCGCGCTGCCGTTTTGTAGCGTTTCTTCGGAAGCAGTTGAAAGCTCGACCCGCTTTCTCGCCCGACAATCTCGCACCTCACAAAGGAAACTTTTGTATTCACGAGTATGATAATGTCCCTCCGTAAGCCTTCTTCGCACCTGTGCAGTCGGTCGCGCGTGTTTGCGTCACGAGCTTGTAAACGGGTGGATATACGTGAGCACCTAAGGAATGTCCCGATGCTTCGGAAAGCCGGCAGGCAAGCTGGTTCCGGGGCCGCGCGCGAATATCCAAGAATAATTTTACATATTTCAGCGCGGCTCGCTGCATCGGCGGTGGGCGACAAAGAAGCTTACCTGTTGTCTATGCTAAGGCCCGGCGTAGAACATCGCAACGTATGCAAAACGCTTTTATCTAGCGCCACTCCGATAAGATTTATACGGGCGTGTGTTTGGCTTGATATCAGCCGGCTTATCTATTATCTGTCCGCGCTGTCTTGACAATGTGGTAAGCGGCGCCCATGATGCGCTCGCTCGGGCCGCATCTGTTCTTGTCAAGCTTGTCAGTCTGACAAATCGATTATATACACTTTATTTGAGGCGTCTTGTAGCGACACGACGCACACTGTTTTCGTAGATTCTACATTAATCTTTTCACTTTTATCTCGTTGACAAACGTTCCGAAACTATTGATGCCGGAAATTAAAAGTCTACAATCAATAAGAGAAGTTTTTGATAAGAACAGATCTCTATAAGATTACAAAGTTTATCAGGTTGACAATTGGCAGTCCAAAAAATAATGATATTTCGATATTTTTTTTTAGAGAAGAAAGTCTATCTTACAAAGAAGAAAATTGACAAGAGATCGATAAGATTAGTAAACTGAGAACGATGCGTAGATGTAAGCCGCCTCTAGTGTCGCAGAGCTGCAAACTTGGCGCCACATTTCAAAGCCGGAGGGTGAAGCCAGCCTTGCCAGCAGAGAGCTCCGTTGTCGGGGGCGCGAAGTCGGGGGTTGCAATCGATTGCGATATATCGCAAGCACCCCCGGCGCGCCGGGAGGGTGGCGGCGCTTGCGCCCCGGTAAGCTCGCGCGGATTGGCCCGTGATGATGTCATGCGGTGCTCCCCTAAGTCTCTGATATCATCTGCGGGCTTTTCTGCAGTCCACACCGACCACTCGAGCGGCGTAGCCGCGCCATCGGCGATATTGCCACCTGTGCTTAACATTCACGCAGTGCTATCCGGTCTGCTAGCCGGCCGCGGGCCAGCTCCGAGGCCGGATCTCCATGGTCGCATCCAGCCGGCGGAGAGGTGAGTCCATTCCAGGCTATCCACCGGGTTCGTGCTCCATCTGTGCATTCCCGGACCGAGCTAACGACGCGCCGTTTCGTCACCGCACGTACACACGTCGACCTATCGGTGTAAACATACGTTCGCCATCCGCGTTTCCGATCGTAACCCTTGACTGACCTAAGTCCAATCTCGACCATCACGCGGGATTCAAGTTGTCAAGTTGTTAAGTAGATATGCTGGCAGTTTCGATCGCGTCACGTAAAGTGATTTTTTAAATATTTTTTTCCGATCGAAAAGGGTTTTGCTGATTTCTCTAAGACGATTATGCGCTTTGTCTCTGAGGGTTACGACATTATAGCTTCTGCAGCGGAAGCTGCACC